AAATACTTGCATTTAAAATGCAAATAAAAAATAAAAAAAAACTACCTTCATCTTGAATTTAAATACTTTTTTGAAAAAATCATTTTGTATTTTCTTTAAAATCCGATCAAACATTATATAAAATGTTGAATGAAAGTTGCTCATATTGGCCATTGAAGATATTAAAAAGGGGACAAAGAGATATTCCTTGAATGACTTCTAATTCTTTAACTGAAGAGAGCCCAAAAATTTTTAAACTCCTTGGAAATGGATAGTCTAAATTTTTGGATCGATATTGTTTTCCGAGTAAAGTCTAGTTTAAGATAAATAGAAAAAAGTCAGCAATGGTATAGTAACAGCTTGCATGCATGACCATAGCATGGCTCGATTAATTTTCGATGTCAATCAACAAAATAAGCTAATAGTTTTATAAGTCTCGAGAGGGATTTTAGGTCGCGTTCAATTTCATTAATGCCTTTCAATATAACAGAAAAAATCGATTAGGTACACACTGTACAACCTGTTACAAATTCGGAATAAGAAAAACCTTTTTTTAAGAGTTTTTGTTTAGCTTGCCTTGTTGTCTCTACTGCAAATTAATTTTGAGCCGGTGTTACCCAAAAAGGCTAAAATTTGGCATGTAATAATTACCTTTCAGTTGTTTAAACTAACAATTAATATTTGTGGATTAGGAATTTTTCTTGTCGCTGAAGTCAAAATAACAACAACTTAGGGGCTAAGCGTAAACGAAACTGCAATTCTAGTAATAGCTACCAATTATTGTCGTTTACAGCCAGTCTAGAGTAGTTCCTTGTTCTTTTAACGTTGTAAACTTGTATTACAAACTAACAATTAATATTTGTGGATTAGGAAGTTTTCTTCCTGTTGAACTCAAAATAACAACTTAGGAGCTAAACGTAAAGGAAACTGCAATTCTAGGAATAGGTACCAATTATTGTCATTTACAGCCAGTCTAGAGTAGTTCCTTGTTCTTTTAACGTTGTAAACTTGTATTACAAACTAACAATTGATATTTGTGGATTAGGAATTTTTCTTCCTGTTGAACTCAAAATAACAACTTAGGGGCTAAGCGCAAAGGAAACTGTAATTCTAGCAGTAGGTACCAATTATTGTCATTTACAGCCAGTCTAGAGTAGTTCCTTGTTCTTTTAAAGTTGTAAACTTGTATTATGTATGTACTTAGACAGTCGAAGTCATTATAAGTAGGTCAGGTGTGTCAATGTCATAGGTCAGTGTAAAATAATGCGTGAGTTTCTAGACGAACATATTCAGGGCTTTCGCGATAGATGTATTTCTTTAAAAAAACTTTTTAGTCTCATCTATTATACATTGTTTTTTATTTATAAGCAAGAAGCTTAATTTACGCAAATTTGTTTAACGTCATATGTGTTTAACGTCATATTTAACACTACATACTTCGGTGATGACATCTTACATGTTCTACGAATTCTTGTTGGTGCAAAGGTAACTATTTAAAAATAAGTTTGTTTTGAAAAAAAATTCTTTAACAATTCTTTTAGTTATTAAAAAAAACAGTCACTTTAATTGCCACTAAAACTATTCACGTGCTTAGCCCACCTCGAATTGTAGGCATTATAAATGCGAGACTGGTTCTACTATGATAAAGATAAACTTTACAAATTTTGTACAAATTGATTGTTTTAAAGTGGATGATGTTAATAATTGTTAGCACCCAATTGGAACAATCGAAAAGCGGGGGATGAGGATGAAGGTGTAAGAGAAAATGATAGAGGGAATTGTGAAGGGTTTCAAGGAAAACTTGATTATATCCATTAAAAGTCTAAAAAATGAGTATTAGTGGTCAAAAAAATGGGCTTTAACAAATGTAACCTTCGACAGAAAAGTAAGTAATAGATTTTTAATTAAATGGGGTGAATGTATTCAACAACCCTTAGAATAACAATAGAAAAGAAAAGTTAGAATACTTCGGGGGATTTTTATAAACGTTCCCTATACAATGTAGGTGAGTACTAAAAAATATTTTTTTAAAAATTTCATCCCTAAAATGGTGATACGGGGTTTCAAAGTTTGATGTACCGATGAAGTCATAGTTCAAAATAGTTGAGTCAGAATGCTTCAAAGTTTACAACATTATTATCCGCTATAAGTTGAGTATTCAAAATACTACCCCTGATGGGGTGAAAAGTGAATTAAAAGTTTAATACATTATAAAATTATAAAAAAATCAACAAAAAAAATTATGGATTTGTGACAAAATACTTCATATATTTATGTCATTTACGTGTCTGTTGGGGTGACTTCGGGAAACACGTCATGAAAATAGGGTGTGTATGTGCTAAATTTATCTAATATATGTATAGTATATACCTTAATAAAGGTTCATATTATTAAGGCGCGTTTTGCTTATTCATAACTAAAAATAAATAAATTATTTTCCAATAATTATGCATCAATTCGCGCTACTTGGTGCACTGACAAAATATATACGGGGCCTGTGCAGGAAAAACAAGCAAATTAACTATACATATGTACAAAAGGCAAAATATTGCTAGTGTGTTACGTAAGTGATAAAATATTACCCGGTTTACCCACTATGATTTTATTTCTTATCAAAAAAATAATCAGAAATGCGTTTTCTCACAAAGATAACAAAATAGAACGAACATGAACTCAACGAACTATGTAAAGACATAAGTAACTAACATTATATGTATATAATGTATATAATAATTTTGTATAAGTAATTAAACATTTGTAACTTCCTAATAATACCTCACTGATATGTGCAACCGCAGTAGTTGTTATCAATACTTAAAATATTGTTTTCAAACATTTCGTAAGGTGTGAAATAATAACCTAAAAGTTACGCTAAATACGTGCACTCGGCAAAATTTTGCTGATTTTTGCTTTTAGATTAACGATTAGTAAAATCGCGTCTCAATACATACATGTATCAGGCAGTACTGTTTTGCAATATACAGTAGAATCCGCTTATAATGACATCGAAGGGAAATGACAAACACGTCATACTAAGCGGNAAATGATTGGGACCGGTGACCAATTTTGCAAATATTAATTAATTCATCAATGCACTTATCAATATGAGATTGCGTAACGATAGTGGATTTTACATTCCTTAATAACGTACCTGAAACACATCAACGGGACCTTGATTTTTTTTTAAGTATTTTTTATTTTAATTTGCACAGTCCACAAGTCCACACACAATCACACCTACGCGAAACTATTTTTAAGTGTAATTTTGAATATTTCATTCTGTATTTCCAATAATCTTTCCCCAAGCGATTTGTCGTTAGTGAAAAAACAAAGGCGAAACCGTCACAGCACCTGTTATCCTTCGACTTACCATTTAACATTATTTTCACTTAAAAAAAGTTCATTTTTTTATCACAATCACACCACGAGGTCTATCGGTTAGCGCAAATTTAATAAACTACTTGAACCTTGTTCTATCTTGTACATATATATGTATATTCTGTACATTGATAAAGATGTAATCAGTGTGAATGTTCAGACACAATTACAGGTATGTAGGTAAATTTTAAACTTGGATGGAAGTTTTGCAAGATCCACATTTTAACGTAATATAATGGATATAAAAGAATTTTAGATTTAGATTTTATAGTTAATTTTTCAAATTAAAATTAAATTAGAGCCCCTTGGGGAGATTTACGTATCGATCGATCAAGGGTTAGGTTAGGTTTGGGTAAAGAAGCTTTGCCTGATTGAGATGTGTGAAGTTTTATTCACCATGGGTTTAGGTCAGGACATGGTGGTAGAGTACTTCCTAATTAACACATGTAAGATGGTATGTATTAAGGCTTTAGGTTTGGTATGGAAGATCGCCATTATTAAGATGTAAGTGATAACCGACAAGGGTACCAGCCGTCCAAACATGAAAGGTTCAACTAGTTTTAATGAATACCATATTCTACTAAAAGAAAATTAGTTTGTCACCAATAGAAATTCTATTTTTAGAAATTACGGTTAATCTGAGTTTCCAAGCATTTTCTATTAGTGATAAAATGAGAAAAAAGATAAAATAATAAATAAAAATGTAAGCGATATAACCTTTAGTCATAGCATATACATGTAGTAACACCTTCTTATTGCTAATCGTTTTGGCTATCAGCTCATGAATTATATCGAATCCCTTGCACTAGTTTGTACTGATAATGTTATCAGTATTTCTTAATCAAACACGATTAAGAATTTTAATTGGAATGTATCTGTCTTGCTGTTTTTTTTTTACTACGTAACGGTGCGATAATATTTTGGAATTGTTCTGATCCATGACAATACCTATTCTTACTGTACTGGTTCTCCGATCAACTGTAACGCGTTATGGATCAGAGCAATTCTAGGAGCTTGAAGATCTTTGACTAGCGCCGAGTGATTTCCCTCTTTTTCCTGCTTTTCCGTTTCCAAACTAAAGAGGAACTTCAAGAAGACGTCAAGATCCACTTAGATTCATTGGCGGTAGCATTTTGCGAAAAGGATACCTATTCGAAAGGTATTCCACGGGTACGACAAATGCCACAATTGCCGAGACCGTTATGTCGAAAAGTAATAATAAGTTTACACAACTTTCAGTAATAAAACATTTTTTCATATTCTGACTTGTACAGGTACGTTATTAGGGAAAACGGTTATTTATTACTTTTTGTCTACATTTTTATGTTTTACTGTTTTTTGATTTCTACATATCTGTCAAGCTAGCACTACACATGATATATTTCGAAATAGAAATGCCGTTGCCACAGTTTGTCGCTAATTTTTCGCTGACAGATAGTACTTATACCTATTCTGTAGCGAGTTCAGCCTCAAATCTTGAAACACAAATATTGTAAAAAAAATTGTCGCTTTATTCAATCTACTTTGTCGCCAGTTCAGCCTCGAACTGATCGGCGAAAAACAATTGGACAAGCCAACTATACATAGCGTATCTCGAAACAGAAATATCGTGAAAAACTACTGTAAGAGAAATAATTTGTCGTTGACAGATGGAACTTCTATTTAATTTGTCGCGAGTTCAGCCTGGAACTGTTCAACGAAACACAATTGGAAAGTCGTCAAGCCCACTATGCAAAGCGCATTTCGAAATAGAATTATTGTAAAAAAATATTGTTAAGAGCAATAATTTGTCGCTGACAAATAGTACTGCTACTTAATTTGTCACAAGTTTAGGCTCGAACTGATCAAGGAAAAACAATTGGAGAGTCGTCAAGCTCACTATGCAAAATTATAATAAAAAATACTACAAGGTAAATGATTTGTCGCTGACAGATAGTGATTTTGTCTATTTTGTGGCGAATCCAGCCTCGAGCTGGCCAGTAAAAAACAATTGGAGAACCGCCAAACTGGCGCTATATATATACCGCTCGTCAAAATAGAAATATCGTAGAAAAATACTCTAAGGGCCACAATTTTTCGCTGAGAGATGGTATTTCTACTTATTTTGTCGCGAGTTCAGCCTCGAGCTAATCAACGAAAAAAACTATGCAAAGCGTATCTCGAAATAGAATTATCGTAAAAAATACTACAAGGGAAATGATTTGTCGCTGACAGACGGTGCTTTTGTCTATTTTGTGGCGAATCCAGCCTCGAGCTGGTCAGTAAAAAACAATTGGAGAGTCGCCAAACTGGCGCTATATATATATATACCGCTCGTCAAAGTAGAAATATCGTAGAAAAATACTCTAAGGGCCGCAATTTGTCGCTGACAGATGGTACTTCTACTTATTTTGTCGCGAGTTCAGCCTCGAACTAATCAATGAAAAACTGTGCAAAGCGTATCTCGAAATAGAATTATCGTAAAAAATACTACAAGGGAAATAATTTGTCGTTGACAAATGGTGCTTTTGTCTATTTTGTGGCGAATCCAGCCTCGAGCTGGTCAGTAAAAAACAATTGGAGAACCGCCAAACTGGCGTTATATATATGCCGTTCGTCAAAATAGAAACATTACAGAAAAATACTCTAAGGGCCGCAATTTGTCGCTGACAGACGATACTTTTACCTTGTTTGTCACGAGTCCAATTTTGAGTCAATCAGCAAAAAATGATTGTACAGCAATTCAGATAGCGCTAGACAGCGTATCTCGAAATAGATATATCGTAAAAAAAAATTACTGTAAGGGACATATTTGTCGCTGACAGATGCCACTTTTACCTATTTTATATATTATGTATATATCGAATTAGAAATGACGTAGAAATATAATGTAAGGAGCATATTTTGTCGCGAATCCAACATCGAATTAATCAGCAAAAAAAAAAGTTGGAGAGGCATGTGCTCTATGCATAGCGTGTTTTGAAATAAAAATATCGAAAAAAAAAAAAATTCTGTAATGACCGTATTTGTCGCCCTTCACATCGTTGGCAGTTGTTTCATTTCTTGAAACTAGTTAATGTAAAATTTGAATTTAAATGTATACTAAGTTCATATGTGTTACTACTGTTACATCATCTAATGACTCATTTTTTATTTAGAGCAGTCAAAAGTTTAGGTAGGTAAGTGAATAAAAGTTTCTTGGCATTAATAAAAATAAATTTTAAATAGCATACATGTTGTTTATATATGTTTAAACGGACAACTTTAATCCTTCAATGATTCAACATACTATGTTTTAGTAAATTTAACATTATGCAAACAAGCAAAAAATAAATAAATAATCAACCCCCTGGATAGCAATTGTTAGTTATGTTTCATTATAATCGCGGTTATATAAATATTATTTTAGTTAAAAATTGAGTTTATATTCTTTCATTTTTTCCTTATTAATACATTTTAAATTGAATAATTGTAAATTATGTGCGCTATTATAAAAATAGATAGGTTATGTTAATGTAATCCCACGCCTATTTATTACTCAATTGTCACAACTTGACTAACAGTTCATAAAAAATTTAAAATAATTCGTCTGACTTCTTTTCATTTATGTATCCATTCAATAATAAATATTTCTGTCATAATTTGAAAAAATTGCATCGAGCTAATCCCAGATTAAAATGCAAAACGACTTACCTAATAAAGTGAAGTGGGAGCGCCGGCAATAAACTTATTTTGCCCGCAAACTTTTGAAATATAACCGTACCTTTTTCGGGCGACATTAGTCCTGCACAATAACTTTTTCATTAAATGTTTTTTTCTTACATACACACCGAACCGAGACATTATACTGCATTTTAGCGAGGAAAGGAAGTAAATCAATATTAAATTGCATACTCCTAACCGCACTTGAATCGACAAGAACGTTAATAATGCAATTTCACGATTACAGCGACATCTCAGGGAAAATAGTTAAACTTAACGTTACGCAACAATGTTTTCTAACATGGTAACCTGAAGTTTCGCTAACTTCTCCTAGATGCCGCAAGTACACTTTTAACAGTTTCCATTATTTTAGTTTTTGCACAAAAACGTGAGTAAGTGGGGTTAAGATGATGTGAATTGTTTGGTAGTGAGTTTTATTAGTAAGTTTAATATTTATTCAAGGTATCAAGGCAAACACATCCAAACCGGTCGTGCAAGTGGTGTAGTTTATAACTTTTGTAAAGCTCCTGGTTATTTTATTTTGAATATACTATTTAGGGCGAGGTAAGTACATTTATTCTATATACAGCCTAATTGTTTCTGTGTACATACATAATTAATTAGAGCGGTAATTGCTGTAGGTAATAAATTTAAATACAATCTGTACTGTAGTTCATTCAAAGTTTAAAGTACAATAACTATTTTTTTAAGAATCACTCATCAAAAGTACAACATGTAAATTCACTTACAATTAGTATTGTATTGACAAAAGGTAATTTAAACCTTTGTTGAATTTAATGTTTGCAAGCGAATGATAATGTTTATATTTAAATATTTAATTTAATAACTGTTTTAATTCTATTTAAGTTAACAAAATCTTGTACAACTTCCTCATCTTGGAAAATGCATTTAAATCATAAATATACCTAATTTATTATACAGGAAGTGTTAAAAAAGTTTAATAACATCCTGGTGTTTATTAAAAGGTTTCGAGCTACTGATTAGAAACTGCAACTAATGAGATTAATTATCTTCAACAGCACATTGTTTATTATTTTATCATTACTGCTATATTATATGGGTATTGCATATGCCTAGTTATTGCAATACAAAAGGAGAAACTTGTGCACCCACATTTTAATAAATTAATGTTTCATAATTCATGCAAGCAGGTAATTAAGAAAATTAAGTTTATTTTTATCAGTGCTGTAGTTTTGTAAATTTCTAAATTCAATTTATAAAAACCTTATATAGGAGAATTAATTAAATTAAAACTTTTTTGAGTAATTAAAGTGATGATTATCTGCAATTTATTAATAACCTTAAGCTTTTCTTAAACAGGTAGATTATGCAGCTTATTTGTCGTTTTTTATGATGGAAATTAACTTGTTTTTTATTATAGTTAATTTTTATTTTGTTAAGGTAAACGCGTTTTAGTTTTTAACGATTCCCTCTCGTTATACTTGACCTTTGTAGTCAACATCTCATTCATAAGGTCTTGATTCTGTGTATTACATTCTTAAAATAATAATTCATATATACTTAAGTAATACCCGTACAAAAAAGAATCCACTTATAGGAAAATTAAATAAAAAGATTTAACGTTTAATTAATATTAATGCGGTTTTAGAAAATGTTTCCAGAGAAAATAGAGAATGATATTAGGATCAGTTACTTTCAATTATTTAAATTAAGCAACTATGTATTTTTATTACAAATCTATACGTAATGGTAGAAGTAATTAAGTAAAACTGAAAGCGGTCGTAGTAGTCGTCAATGAGATAATTTACTTTAATTTGAAATGTTTAAATACTATTAACATTAAACAATTTGCAGTTGTATTTGGCTAAATCCATTAGAAAATGAAATAAATCAAATACACAATGCTTTATAATCTGCAATATTAGTAAACATCGTTTTAATAGAGCGTCAATTTTTTTTGTGTTGAACAATGGAAAAGACGAAGCAACTAAAAATATTTTTTTGGAAGTACATATTAAAAATGATTACATTATAAGTATTTTAAATCATTCTCTGACGTAAAACGAGAAAGTTTAATAGCTTTATGTTAATATTCATGCGATTATTGACCGTTCTACCTGTTTTGGAAAAGCTACAGTTACATTGAAAATCGCAAAATCAAAGCCTACATTTATTTATTACAATAATATATTTTAGATTATTTGCCATGTATTGCACACCTTAAATGCCTAAATAACTAAATCCAATACGCCCCTGACGTTTTGTGTGTAAAGTTCATATTTAATGTAATTAATTACGATTTGGGTAGTAAAAAAATGAAATATTCATTAAATTTGGAAAAAAATATTTACACTTATTAATATACATAAATATGAATAATGTGGTGCTNATTAATTTATAATAAATATTCAAAAATATATCAGAAGATTACCGTGAGCTCTCACATACCAAATATGTTTACAAGTTTCTTCGAAATAGTAATAGTATAAGTTTCTAAAGTATCCATTTGCATAACTGAAATACACTTTGCACCATTACGTTTGTTCGAAAAATAACGAAGGACACCCATCTTAAATATTAATATATGAACTTCCAAATTTGTCCTATCATTTTTAAGTGCATATTTATAGAGGCGAATGAAGTTTTTATCATTCGTTTCATTAAAATGCAAATATATATTTCACGAGAAAGCAAAAGTATAAAATTAAAATCTTTTATACCGGTTTTCGGGAAAAATAATATTTTAATACCAATTATTTACTTTTTTGTAGCGATTGCGTAAATTGCATGATTAATTGGGTCTGCAGTGTAGAAATTTGCATACGGGATATTGTACTCTACAGTCTTTATGATTTAATTTAATACTGCCTAATGTAAGCAAAGATTGCAATGTTTTAAAAGTATGGATTTTTAGTTATTGTTAGCTATCATTGTATATTATTGGTCGTTAGTTTTAATAAATGCAAAAAAGATTGATAAGAAAAGTATATGCACCTATTAATTGTGTCGTTTTCGTTTCTTGTTATTTTCAGATGACCAGTTCACAGACGATACCAAGTTGGTACAAGGGTAAAAATATATTTATAACGGGGGGTACAGGATTCGTAGGAATATGTCTTATAGAAAAACTATTACGCGTCATTCCAGAGACGGGGGATATTTACCTTCTAATGAGACCCAAGAAAGGCAAAGAAATATCTGATAGATTGGAAGATATTAAGAAAAATCTTATTTTTGAAAAAGTTTTGGAAACCCGGTCTCCTGAACAGGTAATGATTTTATCAACTTTGGACTCACATTTTATGAACGTTCTGAATATACCACAATTTTCCAAAAAAAGCTATTGGATTTTCAACATTAATTAATAAAACGATTCTTAACGGATGCATGATAATCACGGTTTTTTACCAAGTTGGTAAAAGGTAATTTATGAAACGGAAGTTAATGATTTTATAATTTCAGGTGTTTTCCAAATTAAAGGCTATTGCAGGAGATGTGGCTCAACCTAATTTGGGATTATCGGAGGCGGATCGAAAAATTCTTACAGAAAAAATAAATGTAATTTTCCATTCTGCGGCAACGTTAGATTTCGCTGAAGGTCTTAGAGAAACGGTTAATGTAAACCTTTTGGGTACCAGAAGAGTCTTAGAGTTGGCAAATCAATGCAGAAATTTAAATGCTTATATACATGTCAGCAGTGCCTATGTTAATAGCTATAACTTGAAAGCTGAAGAGGTAAATAATTCTGCGTAATCAAAAATTAATTATCAATATAAGTCTATCATTTATTAGATTATATATCCTCTAAAAGAAGACCCCGAAGGTGTTATATCCCTTGTCGAAAAGATGGATGACGAAAAATTGGAAAAAATGACCCCCGACCTTTTAGGAGACCATCCCAACACATACACTTTCACGAAACATATGGCAGAACACGAAGTTAAAAAGAGTCAAACTAAATTCTCTTGCGCCATTGTAAGGCCGAGTATGAGTGAGTACCGAAACCAAAAGAAGTTTCTTTAATTTTAATCATTATTTTGTCTCGTTTACACAGTAAACTTTTTTTTCGGGTCATTAAAATGATGATTTTCTCCAATTCAAGGTTCACGTAATTTATGATCATAAATGTTCTTGTTAATTATCAGTAATTGTAAACAGCTTGAAGGTTGTTGCGAACGGTAATTAAATAATGCATTAATGTGTATATTCTTATTTAGCTTTGAATGACGAACATCAAATTTAAATCAATTAATAGAAAATGCAATATTTACAGCAGTTAATTGTGTTGCAGTTGTTGGGGCATGGAAAGAACCGATACCTGGTTGGACTATTAGTAAAAATGGCCCTCAGGGTTTTTTGATGGGCGCTTCGAAGGGTGTTGTAAGACGTTTGCCCGTGGGTAAAGAACTTGTTTACGACTACATTCCGGTTGACATTGTCGTCAACACCTTGATTGCTGCTGGCTTTCATGCAGGTAAATGAAAATATTTTTTAAAATCTCGAAAAACAAAATTTTAATCATTTTGCGATCAAGGTTCAACGAATGCGAAAGAGGTAGAGGTTTATCAATGTACGTCCAGTACCCGTAATCCATTTCGTTGGATAGCAGTTGATGATAAAGTCAACGATTATTTGCATAAATATCCTTTAAAATCCGCTGTTTGGTATCCTCATCTCAAATTCCTACCAAGTGTCACATGGTTCAAGATTTCGGCCTTATTCGTACACTTCCTTCCTGCATTCATTCTGGACACCATTACCAGATTAGTAGGAGGTCGACCGATGTAAGTTTTTTATTTAGGTGTTTAGTTGCACAGAAATTTGATGTTTTTTTGTGTTTTTAATTATTACTTTAAACGCTTTTCTCTGGGCTTAAATTTGATTTCTTTGATAATTTTCAGTTTGATGAGGTTGCACAGAAACGTAAACAGTTCACTAGATCGCTTGGAAAAGTTCATTTTCACGGAATGGGAATTCCCCGCAGAAAAGACAGATAAATTACACAATTGGTTAAGCTCTGCGGATCAACAAGCTTTTAATTTGGACATTTCGAGCCTCGTATGGCCGGATTATTTCGATTATCTCACGCAAGGCGCTAGACGATACCTTAGCAACGAAAAAATGAGCAACATAAGTTCTGCAAGGTCGAAAGATACCATGTAAGTGAAGTTCTTGACCTTTTGTTGGTAAATATTGCAAGTAAAAGTTTAATGTTTTTTTTTTCGGTTTCAGATTGCGATTTCTTCATTTTGGACTTCAGGTGGCTATTTATGCCTTAATATGGTACCTTGTAGCATGCATTACTGGGAAAAGTATGAAAAGTGCATCGTTCATAGTGCCTGTCGCTTACATACTGTTCAGCTTCCTTTAAATTGGCAGCAAAATAGAGTATGTAAATGAGACAATTTGTTGATCGTCGACACAATGTACCTATTTAGGGGTTTATTACACCTAATATTTAAAACTACTGAACGTTAAGTGCTTATTCGTGGATGTTTAAGAGTTCTGCTCTTTTTTCTTATACATTTCACTAAGTAGGGTGGTTATTTATGATTATTATTTTTATTAATTATGTATTATAATAGTTTAATACTTATGTGTACTATTTCTTTTTTTGTACTCGTTGTACAAATTACATAATAAATGTTGGAACTAGAATGTTTTCTCAAGATTTATTCCCACTTAAATTCGTGTACTTTTTTATAAATTTATATTTGATAAAGTAAAACGAAACGAAGTAACTGTTTGCACTAAATTTAATGCATTCTACAGAACATGATAAGATACTATCAGTGTCAGTTTATATTTACATACGTTATGTATGTTTGTTGAATGACACATTTTCTGCTAAAAATATCAACTTTGTGCTCATACTTTTGATTAAAGCACACGCTCAATAATGTGAACTGGAAAAACACCTGTTAACAATTTTCACTTACAATTAACATTTTTTTTTCCAAACTTTTAAAAAGCGAATTCCAAATGGTGTTTTAAAGCGTTGTGGGTATCTGTTATTCTGACTGTAAATTGTTTATCAATTTCACTTATTTATGAATAAATTACTTCTCTTTTGCTTAACTATTTCGCCAAAAACAATAAAATCTATATTTCAATTTTTATTCTGGGATACTCCAAACTCAATATTTTTCTATTATCTTTTGTCTTTTGCAGAATTAGACATTAGTTTCCTTTTTTGTTTTATATTACAAAATGGCTTTAGTTTCTATAACCGAGGGTTTAGTTCGCACATGGTATAGGAAGATCTAGTATAATTAATATACTTGCCACATTATGCGGATGTTATGTTCAAAATATCAGGAATCCACGATATTTAAATCTTTGTAATCTGAAGTACTCTCTTGTTTTTATAAATACATGTATATTTGCATTAGTTATATATTATATTATACAACTGATAGTAAAGTTGATTCCGCACTTATTATTCGTATTAATATAGAAATAAACAGTTAAAAAAAACGATAAGTATATTTACAATTTCAATAAATAAATAATTGCCACANCCTAAAATAAGTCTATTATTTAGAACAAATAGATTTAATTTTTGCATTTGTTACCTACCGTGTTTTCATTAGATAAATTAAACTTATGCTTCTTAATAGGTCTTGTGTTAAAAGCAATTGCCAAAGGGCTCCATGTACTTAACCCCTTATTTGAAACTTGAAATTTAGTACAGGCAGTTTTGTGTGATAGTAGTGGTTTTAAAAACTGTCGATTCATTTTTTCTTGAGTGAGTTAATGCATTTTAATTAATTTTGTCTTGAGTTCTATTACAATTTTAGATAAAACTATTACTTTAATTTGTTGATATCGTCGCACTTTTCATAGGTTACGAATTAATCTATGGTTACAAAACATCTTTTTAATCTCCATGGTATTACCATAGAGACGACAAGTTATAGAGATAAAATCGTAATGTAGATAGTGTCTACAGTCGCCAAGCTGTGCAAATCATAATAAACAGATTGTTATGTACAGGGTGTTCTTAATAAACTGTGAATGGTTTTATCATAACAGTTTTGTAGATAAAAGAATTGATGTGGTTTTTCTGAAATTAGTGTATTTATAAAAAAGGATTTAATTAGTAGACATTAAAATCCTCTTCCAAAAATACGTTTCTTCAATAAAAATATGTTAACTTCGAATTCTTGAAAACCATATCCACATACATAGTTTAAAATTAACATAAAAATTGTTTGTAAAAGTATTAAAAATCTAAACCATTTGGAGCTGTATACATAATAGAGAATTATGAAAGGTACAAGTGTCCAAAAAACTAACGCTACGTATAATATTTGCCAATTAAATCGTCGGTGAAGTTTGCCTTCTGGAAGTTGTCTTTCATAATAAAACTTTTTGATAGCGTTTTCTTTTTCTGCCCAACAATTTTCTAAAAACGATCTTAAACCTTGTTCTGTAGTTGGCAGTTCTGATCTGGAATACCTAGAAGAACTCGAATAAATCAAAAGAAACAATAAATATATAATTGAAACGGACTTTTTTATAAAGAAAATGGTTTTCTTTGGAACATCTCCGGAAAGTAACATAAACTCGGTCTGAGGGATGCAGTCAGGATAGACAGAAGTGACGTCATAAACAGCATCTAAACTATACCACAGGCTGCTGGTATTCGCCGCTGGACGTTTCTCTACCACCTACGATGGTGAAATGGCACTCCTGGTTTGGTTTTCCGGTTCTTTCGTAGAAATCGCAATAAATATGTCCTAAAAACAAATGTAGATTACAAATTAAAAATAAAATTAATTGGTTTATTCTTGCCTAATAATCCTTCAGTCTCATGAACGACTGCGAGTTTGTAAATATCATTAGCCCACACTTCTCCGGATTTAGTTTCGACGTTAATCAGACTTATACCAAATAAATTTTTAAAAAGAGTATTTAATCCATCCATACAAGTGCCCAGAGAAAAATAAGAGCAATAATCGCTTGCGTTAACTTTAAACCATTCTTTCTTTGCCTTTTGAGTGTAATATGGAATGTCCCATATTTCTAATGCTCTCTTACTGCCTAATTCCTTATGTTTGAGAATTTCCATCCTTTTAAAGTCTTCTGCAGCCGCATATTTTATGTTTCTTGAAAGAATATTTAAAAAATTTAAGACCTAGAAGAAAAAAAAACACAAACTAAATCCAATAAAAACAGTGCTTGCCTTTTAAATAAAAATGTAAACTGTTTATTTACAACTTTCTGAAAAGATACTTACTGCTTCAGGGGTGTCTGTTGTACTTCCCCTAAGAGCTCTGTGTGCATATGTCGGAAAGCCACATGTTACAGCGAGTTCATAGCGATTTTTGAGTAATTCATTTAAAAGATGTTCTTGACGTTTGTCAGCATGCAGATACACATAATAGGCTACTTCTCTAACCACAGGATTAGGAGATTCGGCAAATAAACCAGACACAAGAGCGTTGTCACCTTCGATTGGAAAACTAGACACATTGTTTCTTTAAATAACATTGGATGACAAGAAAGTTTAATTAACTTACACATCCTGAATATTTAGAGGCAGCACATCTTTGTTTAATCTTCGTGGGGCCCCTGCATTTGCCATAAACTGTTGCCCTACTTGTAAAATTGTGTCATTAAGCAAAACAACTTTTTTCCTTTCTGCTTCAGGAAGATGAATGCCACATTGTTGAAAATCAAATAGGAATAATTGGGCCACATGATTATCAAGTTTATCTGTTTTAAATAAATCACCACATTTTTTTTTCCAAACTTTTAAAAAGCGAATTCCAAATGGTGTTTTAACGCGTTGTAAATGGCTTTATGTATATATCGAATTAGAAATGACGTAGAAATATAATGTAAGGAGCATATTTTGTCGCGAATCCAACATCGAATTAATCAGCAAAAAAAAAAGTTGGAGAGGCATGTGCTCTATGCATAGCGTGTTTTGAAATAAAAATATCGAAAAAAAAAAAAATTCTGTAATGACCGTATTTGTCGCCCTTCACATCGTTGGCAGTTGTTTCATTTCTTGAAACTAGTTAATGTAAAATTTGAATTTAAATGTATACTAAGTTCATATGTGTTACTACTGTTACATCATCTAATGACTCATTTTTTATTTAGAGCAGTCAAAAGTTTAGGTAGGTAAGTGAATAAAAGTTTCTTGGCATTAATAAAAATAAATTTTAAATAGCATACATGTTGTTTATATATGTTTAAACGGACAACTTGCGCATTTCGAAATAGAATTATTGTAAAAAAATATTGTTAAGAGCAATAATTTGTCGCTGACAAATAGTACTGCTACTTAATTTGTCACAAGTTTNAAACTGTCGATTCATTTTTTCTTGAGTGAGTTAATGCATTTTAATTAATTTTGTCTTGAGTTCTATTACAATTTTAGATAAAACTATTACTTTAATTTGTTGATATCGTCGCACTTTTCATAGGTTACGAATTAATCTATGGTTACAAAACATCTTTTTAATCTCCATGGTATTACCATAGAGACGACAAGTTATAGAGATAAAATCGTAATGTAGATAGTGTCTACAGTCGCCAAGCTGTGCAAATCATAATAAACAGATTGTTATGTACAGGGTGTTCTTAATAAACTGTGAATGGTTTTATCATAACAGTTTTGTAGATAAAAGAATTGATGTGGTTTTTCTGAAATTAGTGTATTTATAAAAAAGGATTTAATTAGTAGACATTAAAATCCTCTTCCAAAAATACGTTTCTTCAATAAAAATATGTTAACTTCGAATTCTTGAAAACCATATCCACATACATAGTTTAAAATTAACATAAAAATTGTTTGTAAAAGTATTAAAAATCTAAACCATTTGGAGCTGTATACATAATAGAGAATTATGAAAGGTACAAGTGTCCAAAAAACTAACGCTACGTATAATATTTGCCAATTAAATCGTCGGTGAAGTTTGCCTTCTGGAAGTTGTCTTTCATAATAAAACTTTTTGATAGCGTTTTCTTTTTCTGCCCAACAATTTTCTAAAAACGATCTTAAACCTTGTTCTGTAGTTGGCAGTTCTGATCTGGAATACCTAGAAGAACTCGAATAAATCAAAAGAAACAATAAATATATAATTGAAACGGACTTTTTTATAAAGAAAATGGTTTTCTTTGGAACATCTCCGGAAAGTAACATAAACTCGGTCTGAGGGATGCAGTCAGGATAGACAGAAGTGACGTCATAAACAGCATCTAAACTATCCCTTGATACGAGATAATTAATTATATAAGCAAAACCAGTTGTTTTAGGGTGCATAACGCAATCATATTTCTAAAAAATAGTATAGTAAATATAAACGTTTATTTAAAATTAGTTTGTTACTCTACTCACCGGCAGATTGTTTTTTTCTGCATATTTATTGCTTGCTTTCATGCTTTCGGGCCTAAAAATGGCACCTTCAGGGAAAAGAAACAGAGAAGTTTTGTAAGACATGTCACAAAAGTACGATATCATTTTATTGAGATTTTTTTCATCCCAATTCCATTCCCTCTTTAAATATAAAAAACACATTAGCTGAGTAATCCAACCTAAAATAACAATTTTTTATCAAACATACTGGCTTGCGATTTTTTTTATTGTTTAAAATTATAGCAATAAAATTAAGTGGTGCATTTGAAAATAGGTTTACCAGGCCCAGGCAAATGTCGTAAAATATCTTTTAAGAGAAATCGAACCGGATAATTGTATTTTCCAGGGCCTTTTGTGCAATGAAACATGGCTGCCCAAATATAAACGCATTCTACTCTCGTGCGATGATTCATAAAGAGCACATTATTTTTACCGGCTGTTATTAAATCCCCATAAACTTCCACTTTAGTTCTACAAACTATTTCCACTAAGGCCTAAAATAATTTCAGTTTAATGAACAAGAAGTTTAATTTCATTTAAAAAAAATTACTTACTGCTGGGTATAATTGCCAGAATGAAAATATTGTATCTGTTACATATCTATATAAACGATTTGAAATGAACAGCAAGGGTAGTAAAGGGCAAAAAAGGCCAGTATACCCTAAAAATAATTTAGCTCCGTTAGATCCTTACGGAAAATGGCCCTCAGTCAAACTCTGACATTTTTTATCTATACGTGGAAAACTACCAGAATCTAGGGTTTCAGAGTTTGATAGGGGTCCATTTTCGGTAAGGATCTATAAATATTTATTTATAAAAATGCATAATTGGTAACGAAATTGGTTTAAAATTAATTTAATTTAACGCTACTTACCTGCAATCACGCTGGTATACAATAAGGCACCACAAGCTATAGGTATAATGCAATTCATTAGATAAATAATATGGACGTTTTATTTATTTAGAAATTCCTTTTTTTTAAAACGACAAAATAAAGATAAATTAAGAATTAGGAAGTTAAAAATGCGACTGTAAATAAATGTATGACACAGTAGTGAATGATTAACAATTGTCAATAAATTACAGTGGGTAGAACAATGTACTGATAATTTGTATTACCTAAAAGAAATTGCATTCTAAATGCTTACACGAAAAGAATGGTATTGGTCTAATTTTTATTATACAGCAAAATTGTTTTTGAAGCATGTGTGGGATTTTACAATAAACCTTAAGTATAATAACATTTCTTTATCAAAAATTAATTTCAGGTACGTAGTTTTAGCGAGAATTTTAATGGAACGATGTACACCTTACAACGCATCGAGGGTGACTAACTATCGTCCGTAGAATAGAATTGTTAAAACAGTTCTAGCTATCTAATTGGATACCGCTTTACGCGGCATTTTAAGAGCCAATGAGAAATTAGGTCAGATGCACCGGTTCTATGCGTAGGTGTGGTCTGGAATGCAGTTGTAAAATAACTTCCGGTCTTCCTGGCGCTAAGGTTCATTCATAGTACAAAACCTTTAAAGCACAAAAACTTTTAAACGGAGAACTTTGTTATTTTTGAACCGATTTTAATGCGGTTTTCACCAAAATTTAATAAATGCAACAAAGAATCCTGCTGTTGTTAATAACTCTATCAAATAAAAAAATTGTATTGAAGGCGTGGGTTTTAAAAGTAGCATACTGGTTTATCAAAAGACAATAAAACAACACAGTTAGCATCCACTCAAAGTAAAATTTTATTTAACGTCAATATATGTATATATCACAATTATGTATTTATTTTTATTGTAATAAAGTGGTCTGGAGAATAATCATTTTTTTTGTATGATGATCATAATACCCATGTCAATTACTAGTGAATGTGGATTTGCCTATTTTTTTATTTATTACATGCTGTTGTACATTACACACACAGGTACATATAAATACATATATATCTAAATATATATGAGTGGCCGTTACAGATGTTGTTCAGTGTAAATGTGTGATTAACTTTCTAATGAGCTTTTTGTTTCGTATTTACGTAATATAATTTTTAAGGGATTGATGAAAATGACGGCATCACATTTGACAACTTTTTGCTTCATTTTTATTTTTTTTAAATTATTGAAACAAATTTTAATCAACGAATTTGTCAAAAGATATATTAAGTGACGAAAAATATAGGCGTTTCTCTACAATACATTAGTACATGAGTATATTTTAGGTGAATAAAATACAATTTGCTTAGGTGATTTAGGCGCACTCTTGTTTTGGTTTAGTGGAATATTAATTAATTAGTTCGACAAGGATAACTTTATAATCCAATTTTCAGATGGTATATGTGTTCACGTAATAAATACTAACAACACACTGATATTATGGTTTGAATAATAACATCGAAAACATTCATTTACGTACTATTCTATGCAATATGTATTTGAGAAATGGCTAAAAACATTGATAGCGACAATTAATTCTATTAATTATTATTGTGGAAAACACTGATACGAATTACATATTGTTTAATAGCTATCATAAAATACACTATCCTGAGCACTACAACTTTTTTTTTTTAAAATTCGAGCATCTAGAAGTGAAATACCTTCTTTTTTATTATCAACATTTATAGTTCAAAACGTCAAGAGTATGAAAAACATGGACTAAGAAGCACAAAATTTAATTTTAAACATTTTTTTAAACTTTATATTATTAAAAAGTTGCTAAACATGATTATTGATTAAGCATTATTTCGAAGCAGACAATAATAATAACTATACCATGATTATTTGATATTATGAACTACTTAAACTGGAGTTAGGTACTTTTACGAAAATTGGATTAAAAACACAAAGATAGATCTCGATAAAATACCGTGTGTCTAAGGTAAATGGTTGATTATTGTGTTATAGCTTTTACCTTTGATAAATATACATCAAATATATATATATGTACTCATGCAAAGTGTAATTGTAATACTATTTTAAACGCTAATTTTAACGTCAATAATTTTTAAATGACAAATTCTAATTAATTTGGCACATAGAATTCACTTACACATATAAGAAAACTTTATAGTAACAACTGAATTGTGTAAAATACACCAAATCTATCCATTCT